ATCAGGGCGCCCAACTTGGTTCACCAACTGTCACATATTCATAAGTTACAGAGAGCACAAATAAAATAAAAGAAGTGATTATATACATTCAATCAAACATAATATTAATAGAAGATTAATAACATTGAAACAGCACTCAACAACCAATGTAGTATTTTGTCTCTTTTAGAGCATAAAAGGTATGATACTTTCTTTAAAACAATACCATAAACTTCAATGCAACATTAAAAACTAACAACAACATTATAACTAAAAAGAACCCTACACTCATCTTTTGCAGACAAAAGTTAGATGAGAGAACAAGAGTTCTATTATGAACGTTTCAGATTATAAGCGTGTATGCAGCAAGAAATACTGCATAGCTTAACTTCTGACCTGCATTCAGAATAAAAGTTAATATCTTTTCCATTATGCTCTTCCAATCTGGGAAAAAAAAAAAAAACAATTCTTTAAAGTCTTTGTATAACCTTTTAGAGCTGTAGTTTTTTAAACCAGCATTGGAACACCTCAGAAAATTGGCTACTCAGAATAACGGCGAGGCAGTATATTTAAGCATCAAATTCCTCTTTTCTTTTTTCTCCCGGGAGCAAAATAAGCTTTTAAACTAGAAATTGCAAATGTCCCAACATATCAACGAGCCATCTCCATAACATATCATTTTAACATGTTTGAATTATGATCAAGATGCAGACACTTTAAAGCCCTGGAAAAGAACTAGTTGATGATAGATAAATTTGAAATGAAAGAAAACCAAGTGTGTTGTGTAGTATAGACTAACTGTGCATCATTTCATCTGATTGACATCACCAAAATCAAAAATAATTCCAGAGATTACGATTATGTGGAGTTTTAACAAGGTCTAAGCATCATAACTTACAAATTAATCTCATTTTCCTACCATATTAATTAACAAATATTGATCACCGTCAGTCAGAGATTGCATGATCAGAAGTTGTTAGAACAAAATAAAATTTTGCAAGCGATTATGCGAATGGTTCACGCAACTGTAAAGCCCATTACTCAACCCCACTTTATTTGAGCACCAAAGCAAAAGGAAAGAAAGAAAATACTGAGGCAGTAGAAGTTCATTGCCCTTAAGCATCAAAATATAGAAATGTATATTTCTAAGCATAGATCTTATAAAAATATCATGTATAGATGATGTAAACACTACAAACAACTAGCAATTAGGAAATCACCACAAGCCAAAAGAATGCTTTCCAAAAGGCCAGCATACCTCATTGTTGATGTCATCTAGAATCCTTTGACCATTTTGAATCTCCTGTTCCCCTTCTCTTCTGGCAGTAAGCCATGTAGTATGACCTGTCCCAGATACAATCTTTTTGACAGAAACTGCCTTGTACCTTGGACCTACTGCAGAAACACCAGATGATAACGCGGCATGGAATTGGATTTCCCCTGTGCCTGCTCAATAAGTGAAAGTAGCAGAGATATGAGATAATATGTCATATGATTAGATAATGAATAGGTAAGTACATACTGTACATTGTCTGTTCCATTTTAGTTGCTAAAGTTGAAGTAACAAAAACAGAGATGAATAATTAGATACCACAACGTTTGTCTCGATCCCGTGCAAATACAAGAGCAACTGCAGCAGAAAAATATTCACTGCTCTCATAGTCATTTCTTGACTCTACGCCATTACTGTACAAGAATTGGGCCCTCTCGTCACCGATAATGATAGTGTCACTTGACATGGCATGATCTGTAACAGAACATAATACCAACTTCAAGTAGCAACAAAGGAGATTGCTATGTGACAGTTTATCATGTCTAGCAATCCTTTCAAAATGTGGGACAAGAATTAAATGGCCAATTATTTTGTTAGCTAAATAGATATGAGTTTGCTTAGTCCACTTTCTAGTGATTAACCAAACAGATAAGATAAGCGACAAATTTTTATATTCTTAAATAACCTATTGCTGCAGGTAGAGCATGGCAGAAAAGGAATCAACTCTCATCAACCTCTTATGACTCTTTCACAAAACAAAATGAACAAATAATAGATGCAAAAATTTCTTCCTCTTAACACTTTCAGAAATGTATAAATATGAACCTTCAGATCAACTATGCCAATTAATTGCATAATTTGCATTAGCAGTCTTTGCCATGTCAGGGTCCCAAAAGAAAACATTTTCTGTGGAAAAGACAATCCTTGCTCTATTTTCCTATAAATAACGGGAAAAAAAGCAAGAATGCTTCCTTAGTTGAGAAAGCTCACCCAGCTTTTCCATGACAGGTTTTTGGTCAGCATCTTCATCCTATAGCAGGACCAAAGTCACATCTTAGAAAGAATCTCACTCAATAAAAGGATATGCGAGCATGTTGGAAAACATTAGCTTACTCCAAACATTATAATGCCAACTGGTGATGCACAACCAGAAATAGAAGTTGAATAATCTTTAATATCCATCACAAAGTTATCAACCATTGCCGCTCGAAATCCCTGATTTCACATCAACAAAAAACACACAAGAGCCTTTCCCAAATCAAGCTCAGAGCCACGGAACCATTCAACTTGACACAATAGAAAATGAAGAATCCTATAGAAAACATCATTTTTCCAAACTGAAGTTTAGTTACCTTTCTTGGTTGAAACAGTGGGATGGCATCAACTTTTAGTCCTGGTAAAAACCCCACAGTCAAAATTATACCACTGCATGGATTTGATTCTCCATCAACCCAATATTCTTCCAACATAACCTACACAAGTACATATTAATTAAAAAGAAGCCAGTTATGTATGCTTCCAACGTAACCTACACAAGTAAATATTTATTAAAAAGAAGCCAGTAATATAGTCTTTCATATTTCTTAAAAAGAACAAAAATAAAAATCCTTTACAGGGCCGACTTCTCTATGTTCATCAGTAACAGCATCTCTTCCCATGATTCCACTTGTACAAGACACAATAATTGGAGTTTGAAAACCAAGTTTTGTTGCTAACTGCAAAACAAACCATACCAAGTAAACGTTATTATGTTAACCAAAAACAAGAAAGCCAAAAAATGTCAGGAGGAAATTTAACGAATGATAAATTTTACAAAATTGAGTCTTTCACTCAAATCAACTCCACTGCCAATAACATTTGCAATGGCAAAATGCGGTCTAATTGGCTCTGAGAGAACCTTATTGACCACCTCTTCTAATGCAACCTGTTTGATCATCAAAAACACAAAAACCCAATTCAAGTTAGAGACTATACACTACACTAAAGATCTCTTCTTTATTTTTCAAGGTCCCAACAAGACTCTTCCAATGCAAATATCGATATCATTGAAAAACACCAAAAACCCAATTCAAGTCAAAGACTTACACTACACTAATAATCGTTTATTTATTTTTCAACGTCCCAACAAGACTCTTATAAATGTAAATATTGATATCATCGAAAAACAACTCCAATTCAAGATAGAGACAGAATTTGCACTGAAGATATAATCTTTATTGATTTTTTTGAAAACCCAACAAACCTTTTGGTCTGGATTGAGAGAAAAAGCAGAAGCAAACTTTGGTTTGTAGAGGATTTGATTGCAAATTTGGTTCCATGATTTACTAACACAAGCTGCTGATGCAAAGGATAAAGCTGGTAGTCTCTTTAGTATGTTTAGGATAAGGTCTTCGCTTATTGATGCAAAGCTTGTCATTGGCGTTTTGGGTTCTTTTGGTTTCTCCTCCATTGTTGTCAGAATTCTACGACTGTTGCTGAAAGCATGTAGTTTTTTTTTCTCTACAAACGACTTGTCATTTGAATCTGATTAAACGACAACTGTTTTTGAGTTTCTGCCAAGGAATCGTTTTGTGCGTTTCATTAAACATTGGCTGCATTTTATTATTTTTTAGTATTTATTTTAATCCATCAAAAATGATAATATTTTCAAATATATATATATATATAATAATTGAAATATTATTATTTTACCTATTTATTTATTTATTTCATCAAATTATGGTATTTTCAAACCTTTTTTCAATAATATTTAATATATTTGAAAGGATAATTATTTTTGTCTTTCAAAGTATTTTTTATATTAAAATACATTAAAATATTTTTTTTATTTTTTAAAAATTATTTTTAAAATCAGCATATCAAAACGTTTTAAAATAAAAAATATTTTTAAAAAATACAAGTTAACCAAATTTTAAATTTTTTTATTATGTTTTACAAAAAAAAATTATCACTTGTGTATTTAAAATAGTTATTAAACTTGATTTATTCCATGTAAGATTTAAATTATAAATTAACATGCTAATTTAATTTTTTAAATCAAAATAATATTATTTGAAAAAATAAATGATTAGTTTTAACCCTACTTAGTTTAGGTGTTAATCAGCCCACCAAATTGATTCAAGTTTCATGACAACAGGTTTTTACCACGTATAATAATTCCTTTTTTCCCCTATTTTTTCCAATCAAAGCAGGCAGACGAGATTTAAGAGTTTGTTAACATTGTGGAACGGCATGACTTGGTTGTATGAACTATGAAATTAGAGATGGAAATTGGCACTCATAGGTTAAGTTTTTTTATATTTATATTTTATTTATTATACAAAAAATTTCATTTTCGTATCATATCCATTACATTTTGAGTATTGATATAAATATCAATTATCTGATTATTATTTATTATTTAATATAAAATAAAATTATAATGTATATATATATATAACATATTGGATTGAAAAGATAAAAATGTTGTAATAAACATTTATATAATACAAATATATATTTCAAATTAGATTTGAGTCGGGATAAGATATTCATAAAAAAAATCTACCCTCTCAGTTCAGATTAAGTTGGGATTCATCGGGTTAGAATTAAATTGTCATCCAGCATGAACTAGAGGCTTTCCACTTCAATCTGTTCTTTTTTTTATCCTGAACAATCATGCAATCCTTAGTTTTGAGTGTATTTTGTTCACTGCGTGTGTAAGACACTAGAGTCTAATAAAGGAAGCAAGACTTTTAGGCAAAGGAGATCATATAAAAAAGTAGTGATCCTCTCCAATACAGTTCCATACATTATTATGCATACAAACATCAAAGCATCTACTGCTTTTTTTAAGGTTGACGAAACATAGATGACAAACTAAAAAGCTTCAACTGTAATTAGATTGACAACTACATACCTGTCCATCTCCTCTAATGCAGCAAAGTATCCTGCAAGTCCAAACTCTGGAAACACTTCATAGAAGAGAGAGCCAGCGATTCATTTACGGAAAATGGTAACATAACCAGCGATTCAGAAAACTGCGATTCTTTTCACTGTTACAGGATTTATTCATGCTTAATTCCTAATAGAGATTAATTCTCTACGGATGGTGGAAGATATGACATAACCAAATATATTGTGCTGTAAACATGGAGACAGCACCTACGGGAGTTTTCATCTTCGTATTCTTCATTCATCAAGCTTTTGGGGCCCCTTCCAATTTCTCCTCTGCAGAATAATCCTGCTACTGGAGCCCTAGGAAAGCTGTCGTAAAATGGATAGCTATCAACAAAAGGCTCCCCAGAGAATGACTCGCCACGACGATAGCAAGAGAAAATGAGACCACCAAGAACTTCTTTCTTGTCATCCTTGTCAGCAAACTTGCTCAAATGAAGATAATTTTTGCTTTTCAGTTCTGCCTTCAGGGCTAAAAGTTTGTTGAAGGCGTGATCACATGTTGATGAAGCAGTTTCAGAATCTGACTGGTAGAAAAGGAAGGAATCACCAGGCTGGATGCCAACACCATTGACATTAAAGTAACGGCCACCTCCTCTGTTTAAAGCCAAGAGAAAACACAGTCAATCTACATATTTGCTGCTATTGATGATCAAAGAAATCCTGAACATATATAAATATATATTCTGGACCAGATATATTTGTTACCAAATAAAACACATAATGTAAGACATAGTATAGATGGAAACTGATGACTTATCTTACCCTCTTACTTCGTAGAAATCCAAACATCTTCCTGGTGTCAAAATTCCGGAATCATTGGTGCTTATAGTTTCTTTTGTGACACCAATGTAGATATCAGCAGACTTATTTGTGTCCCTGAACTGCAACAGATTAATTTGGTTAATTAAGGAAGAAAATAAGTTTTAAAACAATATACTGATGAGACACTACTCTCCTTCAAAATCACAAGGAAATACTCCACTTTTAAATTAGATTTGTCGATAACAGCAATTTCTCAGTTATATGTCTTAAACTCAACAGCAAAACCAAGAAACTGTGAAGGGATAGTCAGATGGGGACTATGGGGCAAACTTCTAATCAGCCTTAATTAATACCAGTTTCAATTTAATAAACATGGAACTTCATCTACCTAGTTTGAATATCAAAAAATGGCAATTAAGCAAATGTAGTTGGGCATAGCATGGTGGTTCAGCTTAGTGTCTAGATGTGAATTAGTTCATTACAGAACTCTTAACATAGATCTTTCGCAAAACAATAGAAGAGGAAATCCTGTCATTTCTTCACTTTTCTAGAACAGTAAAAAAGACAGAAAAAAAAAACCTGTTGTTTGAGATCATTTAAAATCTCCCCAGCAGCCACAATGCCATTCTGTCCTTTCAGTTTTGCACTGATCCATGAACACTCTGAATCTTTCTGTAGAACAGAAGCTGCCTCTAGTGTGGGACCAAATGGCATTACACCTGTTGACATTGTGACGTGGAATTGAATTTCTCCTATACCTGCATACCCAAAAGCCCAGAAAAGACATCAAAACAGAATCGTGATCTTCAGCAAATACAGCAACTGCAGAAATGTAGACTGCTGTATCTAACATATTTTGGAAGGTTCAAAATTAAGATACCTGCTACATCATTTTTACTTTTAAAGTGCAGCACGTAGTGATTGGTAATTTTAGCATAATTTGCTTCAATTCATACAAATCATCAAGTACCTTCAGGCTTGTATCTATCCCTTGCAAATACAAGAGCAACAGCTTGAAAGTAGCAAGTATGAGCAAGATGATTTAGAGAATTATCCCCATTTCTGAAAATAAACTCAGCACTTGCATCGCCTACAATGACTGTTTCTTCTGGCATGGCACAATCTGCAAAGTTGAAATGTCATCAGCTACATTTGTAAGCTGTGCCACGGCAAGAAATGCAACAAAGGATTGAGCCAAGACACCTTCTACCTCAATTATGTATGTGGTAACAAGATACTTACCCATCTTTGAAACAATAGGTTTCATGTCAGTGGTTTTATCCTAGACAATCAACCATGTCACATGTTAGACACCAAAGAAAATTAATAGAATTTAATTAAAACATTATGCAAAGATGCCAACTTACTCCAAATATTATGATCCCAGTAGGGGCTGGACAATCTGATACAGCAGATGTGTAATGTAAAATATCCATCACAAATTTGTCAACCAAGGTATTGGATTCCTGATAATGGTGGAAAATATTGCAAGTCAACAACCCATTATGTGTACAAACAATGAAAAATAGCTTTCATACTTATTGATTTCAATGTCATAGAATTTTATGCTTCACTGAGTTTGATAGCCAGCATTCTCAATGCATTATTACTTAAGACCAGGCATACATCACTTCCCATTAAGAATAATACACCTTACCTGCATCGGTCGTAACAGTGGAATGGTGCCAATTTTGAGCCCAGGTAAAAATCCAACAAGCAAAACTAATCCTTGGTCAACTGTATCCGATTCTTGCGAATTAGGACCAGCAGTTGTTGTTTCCCATTTTTCCTGCATAAGATTTAGCATCACTACATCCAGATATTTTAATTAATTTACATAAGCATGCATATGAAATGATAGAAACACACAAACCTCATACAGTTCATCAACAATGCCATCAACACCAATGATTCCACTGGCAATATTAGTAATGATTGGGATGCTTGAACCTAGTTTTTTAATTATCTGCGCTATGGATCAAAAGTTTGTTCACATTGGAAGAGAGAAGAGGGAATCTAGAGTCAAATTAACCATATACAACCATATGAAAGATTCAGCAGAGAATTATTACCAGTCCATGAGTCAGTTCCAAGTTAAACTCCTTGCCGATGCAAGCAATAGCAAAGTGTGGGCGAATAGGCTCAGAGAGAACCTGTTCAATAACCTCTTCCACAGCATCCTTGCAATCATAACACAAAAACTGGTGAGCTCTATTGGTTTTCTTTGGTACAACAAAGGAAAACAATTTAACACAAAAGGAAATCTTCAAGATTTCTAAGCATTTTGTTTATTTTTATTTATTTTTAATTCACTTCCACTATTTTCTTCCTTTTTTTACTTGATAAAAACTTTGGTTAGTCATTACAGTTCAATTCCAGCCACGCATGCAAATGTGTTATCCACATAAATGCTGGCAAATTGGACAATCTCATTAAGAACAATAAAATTCTTCTTGTTTTTTTCAATTAGAAGTAGGAACAATACCAATCCCAGCTGCGCATTCATGAGGCACATCAGTGAATATGTCCTATGAACACATATGCTGACTGAAATCAGGCAATCACATCAACAATGATGAGTTCCTCCGATTTCTCCAACCAGAGGAACAATTAATACCAATTCCAGTTGAATATGCATGACATGCACCAGAAAACATGTTCTATGATCATATATGCTGACTGAAATTGTACAATCACATTAGCAATGATAGAGCTCCCCATACTTCTTCAATTGGAGGAACAATTAATATCAATTCCAGTTGTGCATGCATGACACGCAATGTCAAATATGTTCCGTATGCAAATATATGCTAACAACATGATTCCTCTTGTTTTCTCCTACCAAAAGGAACAATTTCAGTTGCGCGTGTCGTGCATGTTCATGCAAATATGTTATGTGAATATATAGTTTGACAACAGGATTCCTCTTGTTTTCTCCGCCTGAAAGGAACAATCTAGTTGTGCGTGTCATGCACGTGCGTGCAAATATATTCAGTGAGCATATATGCTGTCTAAAATTGGACAATTTGTCTGATCAAAAGAAAAAATACCAATTTTCATAACTGGATTTGAAAATATTTGAATGTATAACAACTTACATGGAGAGAAGGGTTGAGGGAGAGAGCAGAAACAAGCTTAGGCCTTTTGAGTATTTGACTGCATATTTTGTACCAGCGTTTGTTAACACAGGCAGCATATGCAAAGGCCAAAGCTGGTAACCTTGAGAGTATGTTTTGCATTATCTCTTCAGTCACAAGGGAGAACCCACACATCATTCTTCCTGATAGCTGCTTAGCCATTTGAGAAGTAATTCTATATGCGAAGCGCATGTACAGTTTTGCATGGAAAAGATAGGAGAGGTGCTGCCTATTTTATACTTGGTGAGAGAGTGCAGCAATTCATTTTGAAAAGGGAGTTATCTTTACCAGAATCTTGTTGCAATTAAGGCCATTTAAGGAGATTGTGATTCTTTTCCTTTATTGGTTTCTGGTTTTGGATTCTCTGAATTGAATGGGTTTTGGTGTTTTCTGTCAGAACCAGCTCCTCTTTTGCTTGTTTTATCTGATTTCATATCCCACTTCAGTATCCATATTTATTTGCTTTGTTTACTCATGTTTTTGTACATATCCTTCATAAGGTAAAAGGCATTAATATGGTGGAGGATGCCTTCATTTTCAATCCTAAAAATGAACCCATAATAAAAGCTACTTGTTCCTTGAGGTTTTCTTTTCATCTTTAGAAACCGGTTGCAATCAAGTTGCAAGAGCATTTGACATGAAAGTTTTTCGAATGATTTTGGTGTTGTTGACAATGAATTATGGTCCATCTATGCATAAAGAATTCCTCTGTTTTCAAATAGCTAGTTTTATAGACCTCCAATTAGTTGTTTCATGTCTTCAAACTAGCTTTCCTAAAGATCAACTACAGCCCCTCTTCCTCAAAGGTAGATTGGCAACTTTTCCTTCAACCACCCTTGGAGAAGTGATATTTATTTATTTATTTAGCATGAAACTCATTTTTTCCCCTAAGATATTAGCTAATTATTCTTTTTTTCATCACAACCACTTACTTCTCTCAATTCTGATCCAAACCTGTTAGAAATTAGGTAATATTGACCAATTCCAAGACCAAAATACAAGTAGAAAACACTTGAGAGTTCCTAGATGGAGGGGGAACATTGTCTAATTTTGAATTGATTTGAAACAAATTTATGGACACTTTTTTGTCCCTAACAAATGGATCCATTTTGGATGAACTTGAAATTCAGGAATAAAGTAAGGGGCAAAATTTTATGTATGTATCCCAATATCAATCATCATAGCTACAGACTCACTGCAATAGGATCCTAAATGTGCTTAGTTTATCAGAAATGATAAGAAATTTGTAAATCTGCTGGGCTCTTGCAAGTTCTAAAAGCATCAAGTTCTTGGTCTATGTACTGAAATTTTTTTCCTCAAATATCTGCAAGGAATTGCGGGATTATATATGTCAGGGTAGTAAAACTATACAGGTAAGGAAACGTACCAGAAATGAATTGATCGGTCTCAACAAGAAATAGAATTCTTTGACAATGGCACATGTACAAAAGAGAGAAGCTGCTCTTTGTTCCAGATACAGTTGTTCTCTAGACAAATTGAGCACATTGTCAGTATTTATCTGTATTAAATGCCTCACTTTTCAAGGTAGAATTCATCAACCTTCTCCTTTTCTATTCTTTTTGAATGATAGAGCAAGCAGTAGAGCGAGAAAGAACCCAGAGGCCATTAGAATTTGACCTTTAACCATGCCATATGCAGAGTCAAGGCCAGTTAACATGGTAAAAGTCTTGTCTTGTTCTACCTCTTTAATTCTAACATTTATTTCACTTGTTGTATGAGTGAATTGGGTTAATTCATCCCACATGCCTCCAAGAGTTCCATTGTATTGCCATATCCCTTTTTTAAGTTCATAAATATTTGCAAAATTATTTTTTCACCATATATTTCTTTATGGGCCTTCCACATCTCTTCAGCACTAGTTCGAAAATACATACCTTCGACTAGTCACGGTTCCACAGAGTAGATCAACAATGATCTGACAAGATTGTCTCCAGATGCAGGGTTATCAGGTGTTGGAGCTGGCTTCTTTCCAGCTACAAAACCCATCTTGGAACTGCTGTAGAACTTGCTGTTTTGGACCAGATCACATAATTCGTTCCAGAGGAAGTATTCAGATTGGGGTTGTTGTCTTCATGGGCGCTGATATTTGGATTAGAGGAAGGTTCCAAGGTTTTAGTCATCACAGACTTCTACGTTGGGACAACTTTTGAAAATATGGATGTTTATTGCTTTGATACCATGTTGTGAAATATGGACAATATAGAAAAGCGATGCATGTTCTCTCTCATTCAGACATGAATTTACAGTGGACACCTACAGCTACATCGTAGAAGGAAAGAAGATAAAGTTTTAACGGTAATCGAGAAGGTGGTAGGTAATAACTAGGAAGTCCCAAGCCGGCGGTGGTTAAATTTTTTTAATATAAAAAAACATGTTTAGGTGATGCTGAAATTATTATTTTTATTAAATCCAGATTATTAATTTGCCAATGCTAAAAAAATTTAATTAATTTAATAATATAATTAAAATAAATAATTTCATTAATAAAAATAACCACAACAATTGGCAATAATTAATTATAAAAATCAAGTTGCCAACATTATCATATTCGGGAGAAGAAAGAATTAAAGAAAAAAATATGTTAGAGATTTATTATTGCTCTGCCCCACCATCAAAACAAGATTACAAAAATAGTTTTAATGTCATTAAAAAAACTAAATGACAACATCGAAATAGGCATAAAATCAGAAAATAAATATTAATATAAAAAAATTTCAAAGTAAAAAAATTAAAAATTAAAAAAATAATGATTAAATATGATATAAAGAGAAAAATTAAAAAAATAAAATCATATAAAAAAAATTATTTTATAAATTATCTCAAATAAAATATATATTAATTAAATAAATATAGATCAAATATAAAAAAAATAAATTAAAAAAATACTTTGAAAATTTTAAAAATTAAACATGTAAATTGAAAAAAAAGAAAAAATAAATAAAGAGACACATCTAGGGATGGAGATGTCATTAAAATAATTTAAAAATCGCATATAAAGTCATTGTTTGGCTGTTAAATTTTTTTTTGAAACACTACTTAAATAGTACATACATAACCTGTGTTAACTATTTTTATTTTTATAATAATATATATTTTTTTAAATTATTAAATTTGCTTTTGATTAACTTGATTATAACAAAAAAAACATGTTAAAAATATAAAAAATTTCATAGACATCAATTAAAAAAAACTTTGCTTTTAAATGTAATTCAATTATTTTATTGAAATTTAAAAAATAAAAAAACCAAAAGTTCATGTATTAGAATTTAAATTTTTTTAATATTTTTTTAGTTATTTTATTGTTCTTAAAAGTTATTAAAAGACTAATTTGTCATCTGAATAATTTAATAATAATTAATAAATCTTATAAAAATAATTATATTACCTTTAATAGCTAAGCTAATAGTTTTTTTTTTGAGAATAACAAAATAATTATTGTATTATTACAATACCCAATGTTATGAGTTTGTTTGTATAGCGAAACTTTAATCCTTTTTATTTTTTTTATGGAGAGATTTCTTCAACAGCAGCCATACCTAGGTTGTTTTGCATTGCCCTTCAATTTGTTTATGTTATCCAAACTTACTAAATAATTAAATGATTGAACAAGTGAGCATATATATGTTTGGTTTATAATCATGTAAAAATATAAGGATATGGTGATTTTGTAATCAAACAAAGATAAAATTAACAAAACACTAACTTGTGTGACCATTTTACTTAGTAATTTTTATTGTGCATTTACTTACAAATTATTATGGGTTAAAGTAGTGATTTTTTTCCCCAAATTTTCTATTTAGTTCTTAATTTTACTTTTTTAACTATTGAACCTTTTAGGCTTAAATTAATAGTAAATCATTTCTTCTTCTTTTTTAAGAGATGATGAAATTGAAAAATAGAGTAACATAGTAAAAAAGAAAATGATGAGTAAAGTAGATGACACATTCTAATTTCTTCCATAAATTTTAGTTTAGTCCCCTCTATTTTTCACTTAATAGGTGATTAGTTTTTTTGGTTTTTTAAAATTTAATTTTGATACCAAACTTTATTTTCATTATTTTTTAATTTATTTTTTATAAGAAGAGATAAAAAGCTTGCTGGATTCTATGTAAAGAGAGAAAACTCATTGTCAACATCTATTCCAACCATCAAAATAATTAAAATTAGTGTCAACGAGTTAATCCAAGTGATGAGAGTCTTATAGTGGTTGTTTCAAACTTTAATATAGCCTAAAAATTCAAAATTAAATTGAGGATAAGATATTTTATTCAATTTAATTTTATAATTTAGATCTTTTTAGAGGTTTATTAGTTTGATAGGTTAATTTCTTGATGTTTTAAGGCTGTATTTAAGTTGAAATGGGTTGAAAATAAGTTTTTTTTGGTAAAAAAAGTACAATACGGGCTAAAATTTGAAAATGAATTGTACTTAATGCCTATTTACAAAAATCAAACATAAACTTTATATTATAAGGAGAGAAAAAAATAAAATTTGAAAACTAGAAGAGTTAAAGCTAAAAATAGATGAAGAAGAGTGTTAAATTCTATAGAAAAATTTGTCTAAAACACTGCAGAGTACAAAAAAATCCTAACCTCATGACACTTTTCTTCATTTCTTTTATAAATTATTTTAGAAACCAGAAAATTGTTAGAGTTCATTTGCTATCAGCTTTAATTACCTTTTATAAAACCAAAATTAAACTTGGATTTTTTTTAGATCATTCATCTTTTAAGTCGAAGAAATTGTTTATATTATGTAAAAACAATTCATAAAATAATCGATTAGTTCTACATTCAAGGGTTAAACAAAACAGTTAGATGGACTAGAAAAGATAATTCTTAATGAACCAGACCTAATTCTACATTTAAATGAGTAAACATAATAGACTAAAAAATTATAAATTTAAACTCAAACTGAAACACAAGTAGGCAAAGATAAGCTTAAACTCAATACTCATTTTGCTTAAAACTTCTTCCCTTTACAAGTTTGTTTATTTTTTAAATTTAATTTTAATTTTGTAACTTTTTACTATATAAACACTAAGAAAATTATATTTATTTCCTATCTAAAGTAAACTCTTTTGTAAACTCTTTTGAAAGTTTTAGATTTCATCAAAATATATCAATCAATAACTTTTTAAATAATTTATTTAAATAATATTAAATACCTTATGTGAGAAATAAAATTCTAGCAAAATTTTAACTCTAAAAAAGTAAATAAACTCCACTTTTAACTTAACTTCAAAAATACCCATTACCCATGTTTTAAACAAATTTTCCAATATTTTTTTCAACATGTGTTTCTTCTGTTTGCCATTCTAGATTAGTCATCACGCCTAACTTGTTCATAGTTTATGACAGCAGTCAGCTTGATATCAATTTCTCAAATGCAATTCATAATTTGCTAGTACTAGCAGATGAAGATCTCCTAGTCACAGAATGATATGGTACAAGGTTTTGTAACAATGAAAGGATAAAAATTGAACAATTTGCTGTCAATCATTAAAAGAACTTAAACAATCCAGCATTCTAGTTAGTAGAGATGAGAATCCCTTGAGGAATATTTCAGCAAGAATCCAAAATTATTGTGCATCAAAATGGGAGTCCAGGAGACTATTACTCCCAGTTAAATGGAAGTGTTTGAGGGGCTTTGTTGCCAGAGGAACCACCAGACTGCGGTTGAAACGTTCCTGGAAAATGGACATTAGCATCCCTGTTATTGAAAACCAAAACTGAATCAATTGGCCTTAAACCATGATCATGTACTGTTGGGCCTATAGGATGCGATAAAGGGACTGAATTATGTTGCACCATGAGGTTCCCGGATGCATGCGTCTGTGTTGATGACAGAAGAGAGAGAGCACAATCCGAGTCTTGTATTTGTGTTAACCTGTCACAGAACATACTATGGCTACTTGCCCCCCTACTTCCTGGCAAAGGAATGGTTCTTAGAAGCGGCTGGCAGACAGAAGCTTCGGGAGATGTCTGATTGTTAAGGCCAGGGCTGTGACATTGCAAAAAAGGGAACTGCTTCCCTCCATGGTAACTGCTCGAGGATGATCCAAAGAACAGGTTCTGTTTGTCAGGAAGTTGATGCAGATTACGGTGCCTACCATCTGCCTCAGTACTAGCAACTCCCGACCACATGGGATTCAATACAGTAGAGGATGGATATACATGGGAACTAGAGAATGAAAATAATTGAGCACCTGAAAAAATGTTGAAAAGATGTATTTAACTATTTAATCGAAAAAATGTCATTTGCAAGAACGAGTGACATATCTGATATTCTAACATATAGATCAATATGAATTACAGAAAGCCTTTAGAACTCTTTCAGTTTGGCTCTGTGCATTATGGAAGCAACTTTGAAATGACAAAATCATGCTAAATAATTTAAAATTCCATTGACAAGCATTGATTTTAAGCAAATTCAAGAAAGAGAGCAATTTCAATGTTCAAATTCAAGTCAAAGTCCAGTCTGTATATTTGGAATCGTAGATCATTAGTATATTTCTGCAACGGCATGGGCGAAAGGTAAAAGTAGGATGGATATTGGCAGTGGAAATTGGCCGCTAGATCATCATCTTCTAAGTGACATCATCCATGCAAGTTGAAGAGGCACTCAACCAGTTAAGTTTGGAATGAACTATAAAGATCTATGATTGTAATCATTGCCCATGAAGTCAAGCAACTGAGTGTGTGCCAGTATCCAGATTTAGAGCTGAAAAAGATTCCACTGAACATTGTTGTAACAAACCTTGATAATTGGATAAAAAACTTGGAGAACGAGAATGGGGATCTGGCTGAGGCTTCCTTCGCCGCCGATTGTGCCCATCAAGACGTTTCCTGCAGCTTCTTTTCCCTTCATCAAATTCCTCCAGGGAATGGAACCTAGTAAGGGAGTGGTAAAAGTATAAGACTGCTATGAAACCACAGGTGGACAGATGTTTCGATGCAGAAGAAAAATCAAATAAAATGCATGTTAAAGACATGAAGCCTGTTTTATTTACAGGACAAGAATGAACCAAGGAAGGAGCCAGTCTAAGTGGAATAGTCATCAACACATATTCCACAAAGAATTAAGAGAACCAATTAAAAAGAATGCTGTTATACATGATTTCAGGGGCATAGGAAGAGTTTATAAGACTGTAGTAGGCCGCAAAATAAATTCTGCATGGAATTAACAAAATCTCTTCAAGGAATTACCATTTCTGTTCAGAATAATGACCTTTTCAAGTTCCTCCGCATACATGCTCAAACCACATGGCAGTTCTTTACAGAAATCACACTGTGAGACGTGCTAAAACCATGTCTCAAAATAAATGCAGCGTAATGGTAAGGAAATTTGATTTTGATTTTCATCTAGAACGAGCCTCTTGAAAGATGCACAGAAAATGATTCTATCAGTACATCGTTTCCTAAAATTAAAAGAAAATATCCGTCGAACTCAGAAAAAGCAATGCAGAAGTGCAATAAAAAGATGAAAATGAGCACAACCCTGTAAGAACATGAAGGCAGCTATGGAAAAAGATGGAGACTTATAATCAGAACAAGATTTAAATCAAAATAACTAAAGCACTATTAGAACTTGAGAAATTAAGAACATGATACCACAATTCATACCTGCTACATTGTTGGCAGAATCGCTGCTTCTGACCGCCAACTGTAACCTGAGGAGTCTTGGAATGAAGCTCACAGACCTTATGGCGCCTATGATAGTCCCTACAAGTACTGAGGTCTGAATTGCAACCATCAACAAGGCACATAGCTACCTGAGTTCCACTGTTAGCTCCACGTGCTCTCTTCGTTGAACCAGAAGGTAAGGGCTGTAGTTTTGAGACTCCAGGCTGCTTCCAATTAATTATAGATTCATCACTTGAATTACCAACCCTACCAAGTTTCAAATCAATAGAAAAACCCCCTCCACTCCTGTTAACTCCAAAGCTAGTTGACCTATCAAATGCATCTATGCTTATGCTTGGAACAGCTCCTTGCTCAAATTCAGTCAAATCCCAGGAAGTTGCCTTCAAGTTCCAGTCCATAAAATCTACCACTTAAGAGAGTTGCTCTCCTCAGAGTTATCTTTCTATTGCTCCACACCACCTCTACCAATTCAATTAAACTTCTCTTTCACTGTTCACAACCCTTGCATAAGAAATTATTTCACACTAAACCAAACAAACAAATCAAGAGACATCCAGATATACAATAATACACCAAATTTAATCAATTAAACCTCAGCACAAGTAAAGACCAGCAATTTAAACCTGACAAGCAAAGAACAGCACAGTTGAATAACCAAGCCCTTCTCTCATAACCCCCATTCTATACACTATAAACAACAATTTAATCCTCATATTTGCGTTGGTAGCTCAAAAAACTGTCAGATTTCAAGTGAACAGAATTGTAAATTTAAAATTAGAATTAGAATGTAAATCGGAAAAGATTTGGAGAAAACAAGAAATGCAAGGATGAGCATCTCAGAATGGTATTCTTTACTCAACCAAGCAGGGGAGGGGGGAACAAGAAACCCCCAACAAAAGGCTATTCCTTTTTGTTTAGTGAGTGCAGCAATACAGTTTGCAGAGATATATTTCCAAGAAGATTGGAAGCTTAAAAAATGAAAGCTACTAAGTACTAACTATAAATAAAGAAATAGTAATAAATAAGTAAAGAAAGAGGGAAAGAGGTGAGAGAGTACTTACAGACAGGTTCACTAGAAGAAGACTTGGCTTGATCTTTCCCACCCATTCATCCATTCATTCACTGACAATGATTCCATTTAGAACCCATAAAAGTGATCAGCAGTCAAGGAAAAAACAAAACAAAACACAGACAACATAAAAATACATCAAGCTGTAAAGCTGAGTGCGTGGTAGGTTTGAAAAATCACTACCTGTATGTCCACCAGTACCAAAATGCCATAAAGGGTTGGTTATAATAATGTGTTGGAAGTGGGAAATTTTAGTAACAGTGAAAAGGGTGGTCACTGCTTGCTTACCATGAAGGGCCAAATAGAGCTAAGATAAATATGCTGTCTTTATTAAGTTCACTCCTCCCTATTCATATAAAATATAATTATTATTATTTTCTTTTTCATGTTTAGGGTTTATTTGAAATACATATAAAATATACGGACAGGCTGTTGGTTGTTCCTTTCAACTTTTTATGGGAGGCAAGAAAAGAAGTACAAGGATATTGATGCTAACTGGGACAAAGCATGTGACCTTGTGTTTCACATTTCACGGCATGTTTTTCCTTTTGGATTTCTTTTACTTCAATGGGTGTGTGTATGTATCCCACTCTACTTTTACCAGAGAGTGGGAAGCAAACATTTTGAAACTTTGCTGCTATCCTCAACTTGAGCTCTCTCTCTTCTCTTTTCTTGCTTCCTGGCCCTGCACAAGGGGAGGAGGAAGATTTTGAGATGGAAGTTTGTGTTTGGAATATTTTCTCCTTTCAGCATCATTGAATGTGATTGCTTCTTGTTAAGGACCACCAGATTTTGTTTGTTCAATCATTTGCTTGTTGATTCTTCTAGCATAGTGTAATTCTTGTTCATGGGAAATCATGATTAAACAATCAAGGGGGGGAAATGTTTTAACAAGCAAATCTCACAAGAACAATCTTGATTCCTGGACCATGTTCTTGAGAAAAAATATGACAGTTTTTTCATTCATGTCTTAATTGAATGATGATGTATTTTTCAAGAAACATGAAAATTAGTATAATTTGTCTGGTATTTTAGTATTGTTATTTTCATGATTATAAAATTTGATATATAATGTAACTTGGGATAAGACAGGAATAAATAATTAATTTGGATCATCTCAAAAAAATAATTAAAAAAAAACACTAAAAAACAAATTATTTTTTCTTTTTTAAATCAACGGTTTGAAGACTTGGTTTTATTATATGTCAACTTGAGTTTTTATATAGGCTAAATTAGATCATTTTTATTTTATTTTTTAAAATTAGAACTTGATTAGAAATTTTAGATCTGTCACATTCTATATATTGACTTATCAAGTCAGTTTAAATTTTATAATTGTAATTAATGTAATTTCAAATTATAATTATTGTAATGAAGAGTGAAGTTGCCTGTTAAAAAAAAAAAGGAAAGTTTTCTCAGGAAAAACATAATATATTTAATTATACTAAGGTCAATTATAGGTTCTTAACAGGATAAACCTGAAATCATGATCCTAATTCATGCAGCTCCTTGACATGTGAACCAGCGTCAAGCTGCATTTTCATCCACATAATATAAATAAAAATCAACTTCGTTCAATGTATTCATTAAAAACAAGCAAGAGGATGAAAAAACAAAAAAAAGAATAAATTGAGGCCTGATTTATACTTTGTCAATTACTCCCTCAATTTTATTTCCACGTCACTCGTTTCATTTTTTCAAAAGGAAATAACAATAAAGAGTTGCATGTAGAAAAAAGAAAAGAAAGGAGGAAACAAAATACAAAGCCAAATCTAGTGAAAATGAATAAAATCTTTGACGCCAGCCAAAAACAACGATAGAATCATGAGCTGCATGAAGGTCTATCACCTCATTATGAAAACCTTTCATCACTTGATTTCACTCCCACCGATGGAAGAATCTGTGAATTTTATCTTTTTATTTATTTATTTTAATCATTATCTTGGCTATTTACATCAAGAAAATTAAACAAAATTGCTATAAAACATGTTAATTTTTAAAATAAATTAAAAAAATATTATTTTAAATATATTTAAATAAAAAATACTTTAAAAAATAACTGTTAGCTTTGTACACCCCTTTATAAATTAAAAAAAAAGTTCTAATGCTATTTTTTATGATTAAAAAACATTCTTAGATTGATTGTATTTATTTAAATTAAAAGAACTATGGAAAATTCATGATATATTAGCAATAATCTTCCTCTTTTTTTTATTTAAAAAGAAAAAAAAAAGAGAGAGAGAATATTCCGGTGTAAGTGGGTGCGGGTGGATTGTGTGCAAGTTTCTCTCACCAATGCCGGGAAAGAAAAGCATTAAATGCACAAAATGGCTCTTGGGCCCCACCTTGGTATAAAAAGCTAAAGAAGGGGTGCGCGTGGGCAATGCAAATAGCTAAGAAAATAAATAATAATAAGAATCTTAGATTAAAATAAATTAAAGGGAGATGGGTCGGAGAAATAAATAGAGAAAAGATGGAGGGGTAAAATGGGATACAAAAAAGGAGGGCAACCACCAGGACCAATGTCAGTGGTAGCTGTAATTGCTAGCGTCAGTAGTAGGGACCAGCCCCTATAATTCTAGGCTGGATTGATTTTCTGTGGGCTTTTCTTTGTTCCCCACGTGTCCATCTTTCTTCATCTCAGCCATGCAAATTGAAGCTCTCACTGTTGCAAAAATCTATTTCCTCTTTCATGCATGTAACTGTCGGCACGCTTTAAAATGGAGTGATTTATTTATTTATTAATTTATTTTACATTGCTGGAAAACTAATTTCCTGGTTTAATTTAGAAAATAGGTGCCCTTGTACATGAAAAAATATTAGGTCTATGTATTTATAATTATATACAAAATATAAATTACATGTCAGAAAATACCTTTAATATTTTATTAGTTTTATAGCTAAAATTGGAATCTCTAAACCTAGTTTTATTCACTTTTAATGTAATGTTAATTATTAATTCTATTTTTTAGTAGTTGTATTTCATCTGTCTCTGATTAAGAAAAGGAATAAAACTATAGTATATATTTTTTTCAAAAATAATAATTTAATATTCTTTCCATTTTATGCTTAATTATGCATTACGTAGAAATTTAAATAATATAAAATAAGCTTTTTAAATCATTCTTTAACTAATATAGTATCTTATGAAACTTTATTTTGACTATTAAACTGTAAGGATACTATTAAAAATGCAAGCCAAAAATAAAAAATAAAATAAAAAAATAATTCAAATCAAAACTAATAATTAAAATTAAAAAAACAATTCAATTATATCAAAACTTATCATATCAGGATCTTTAGTTTTTTTTATTTGAAATTAAATTTTTAGTTATTTTCTTGTATTAGCTTTGACTCTCTTTTATACAAAAACATGCTTAAATTGTTTGTTATTCCTGTACAATAGCGACTGTGCACTGTTATTTATTTTTAAAAATAAAATTCTTTAATATTACGATCAAATTGGACTGAACAGATAGGAACCTAACATTTTAAGCTCTAATTCCATGCATGTATAATTTTTTTCTATATACCTAGTACCTTTTTTATGCAATGCAAATACTAATTTTTTAACCAATAATTTTTTAACTATCAACATCTCAACTAATAACACACATAACATAAAAACTCTTGATTTTCTAGAAAAAAATATCTTCACTAATAACAAGCATGACATAATATTAATCACTCAATTTTTTATAAAATATATTCGAGGATTGAGTGTATAAATATATCAAATTATAAATATAAAAAAGAGTCTTGACCAAGCAAAATACAAGTTTGAGGCTACAAGCACATACTTTACATATATATATATATATATATAATTTTTTGCTATAAAAAATAAATAAATAACAGAAATTATAGTATAAAATCATTTTGTTTCAATGTCAATGGAATTTCCCCCGGTGCTCGTAACAAATCCTTGGATTGACTACTTCACTAGAATTATCACCGGTGCTTATGAAATTGGTTTGTACAGAAGTCATAGAACAAGGCCGTACGCTTAAACACAATCTAGTAGCTAGCTGTACTCTTCATTATGAACCGGTGCCCATCTCATCGCATTATCTGTTCTTTGCTCAGAAAAAGGATTCTATGCGTCCTTCATTGATAATGTGATCCAAGACGTACTCTGTGACATGAAAATCTGCAACTCCGCAACGACTCTTCACTTTTTCTGACGAACACTATTAATAAAGTGGTGGACTCTCCACGATTCCATGGACTGCCATTACATAATTTCAAGGGTAACAGAAGGCCCCATGTGGAGCCATTGAACAACAGATATTTTTACAAGCTTGGCTGGAAATCATCTTGTGATTTGGAAGTCTGGAAATTCCAAAAGAGATTGAGATCACTTCTATAATGAGTGATCTATCATGACAAGGAAGTATTACACTTTATCATCAAGACCCAGGTATGTTCATCAAGGTTCAATGTAAATATCTAGCAGGAGCAAGAGTCGCCAATCGTACAAGAAAGTGTGTGCGTGTATGGGTCTACGTGTGCATGTTATTCGTGAAGACCTTTTCAATTCTTTCTTGAATTAGCTATCGAGACATGTTACTTGTGTTACGTTCTCCATCCAACGCTAGCTTTAATTATTTCTTGGAGTTGAGCATTAATTTCACATGCAGGGCTGGAGGTGTTACTGTGGATTTTTCAAGAAGCAAAACCATCTCGTATCATTTCAAGAGAAGAGTCACTCGAAACCATCTAGTGGTGGCCAAGTGGTAAGTACTTGGGATGTTTGTTTCCTATGTGTTTTCAGGTTCGAGTCCTTGATTACTTATATGATGGCCACTGGAAGCTTATATGGTCGTTAACTTCAGGGCCCGTAGGATTAGTCATGGTACGCGCAAGTTGGTCCGAACACCCACATTAATTAAAAAAAAAAAAAGAAGAGTCACTCGTTTCTATGCTTTTCAGGCATATTAATCGTTGATGACCTAACTCTTCATAATCTGTACGATAATAACAGTTGATGCAGTAGCTGTACATAGCTAGAACAACAGGCAGTGGGAAATTTAAAAATCATAACAAAACAATTTTTTTTTCCCGTATTTCCATTTCGACTACACGTTTGTTTTACCTCCTTAAGAAATACTTTTTTCAAGGGGATCAAGAGAGAATCATAGGCTACTAAACTTGGCCCATGTAAACATCCACAGCC